GAAATGTACCATGAACCGGTATTAAGGTACAATTTAGAGCAGAAGAGGTTGTCTCGGTTCTACTCATGCTTGTAGACTGGGTAAAGGCTCGCTGGTAAGGTCAATTGTATCCAAGGAAAAGAGAACGGAGCAGGGATCTGAAGTAACACGGCTGACTGCTGATTTGAAACGTTGTGTCTACTCTCGATGATCAAAATACAAGTGGCGACAAGTGACCTGGCAACGATAATTTGAAAGTGTGTTGAATTCTTAAGCTTGTAGAGCAGTGAGACAGCATATCGAGGCTTGAAGAGAAAAATGGATAGCATGGCTGGAGTGGAGATCTAGCGACTGTGAATGCAATCTCGAAGATAGCTTAGACTTCGAGAAAATCGAAGGCTGACTTTTAAGCAGATTTGGAAGACGAAAGAATCATGGTTACCAGGATAGAACGGTTGAGGCTCGGGTGCTACGCCAATGCCAATATAATCTTCCTCATTGGCTTCTTCCCCTCAGTCGCCGTAAAACTGCCCAGATGGAGGAGAGGGCGGTGTGTTCCTGGTCTGAAATGCCGGAGACCAGTTCGGAGTAGGTGGAGAAGGTGGAGAAGGCCTACGGGAAAGACTGTGGAAGAAGCTGTAGTCCCTCGATCATCGAGGACGATATTATGACTGGTACTAGAAGGCGTGGTCTGCTTGAGCTGAGGGCTCTTTGCTACTTATGGAAGACTCGTAGGATCTGGTTTTGCGAAAGCTGTAGTGGGCATTTCTTTGACTAGCTTTCGAAAATTTAGCATCATCGATTTCGTTTTGAAGAGATTCAGATGACTCTGCTCTGATTCTGAGCTGTTTTTGGTAAAGCGGACTTGTGACTGCAGCTTGGACACTTGCTCATTCCCTTCTCGGACTTCTGATCCCAGTTGACGATTCTCCTCTCTCGAAGTAATCAGTCGTCTGTCAAGCTCATCCGCCTTACGGCTTTCTCCTCGGACTTCTGATTTCAGCACGAGATTCTACCGTTCCTTAGTGGCGATGTCTTCGAGTTGAGCCTCGAAAGTCTCCGAGTTAGCCAACCTGATCTCCGATTGAATTCCTATTGCCGTCCACAATTCCTGATCCTTCTTCTCTGTCATCTCCCTTTGTATCTCGACGAGCTGTTTTGTTGCTTCCGACCGGTCATTCACTGATTCTTTTAGCCAGATTTGTACATGATTGCCTGCGAGTTCAGATCGATATATTCGAGATTCTCACTTCGCCCAGCTCAATACTCGACCTTCTCTGTTGCAAATTTTTATAGTTCCCTTCAGAGCTCATGATTGTGGCACAAAGGGCAATGACCAGTTATTATCATGGAATACTTCCACCTTACTATTCTGTGAGAGCCCAAAAGGGTATCAAGTGCTTGCAGTTCTCTTGCCTTTTCACAGGCTAAAAAGCCCACAGGGTACGTACGTGGAGACTGAAACTTGTCACCGGCCTTCGTCACCAAGCCAGTTACAGACCAATGCGTAGATTGAGCGACATCATTTTGTTGATGTTGCTACACGCACACTGTTAGTCAAGAACTTCCCGTTCGCGAGCTCTTTTCAGATTAAGCCTCAATTGCTTGATCTCCATGTCAAGGTCGAGTTCTGCGATCGCCAGCCCTGCTGGTCCAAATTTTAGATCTGCAGCAGCCTGCGTATGTGCTTTGACATCCACTTCTCATCTTTTGATCTAGCTCAGTGTGAAGAGAGGCTCGTATCATATGATGAGGAGCGTGTTGTGCTTATACTCCATTTCTGCAGATCGTTGTATCTCTGTGTTGTATCGATTGATGAATACGTCCCAATTATTCTTGGCTTTCTGATGTGAGATAACATATATCTCGACTTTGGCAAAATTGGAGGGAGCACTCTGGATCATGCTTTGATGATATCTTGAACTTGCTTGCGTACTTCAACGATAACTTTCGACAGAGGGGCGACATCGTTTGCTGACCTTTGAAGCATGGTAATATCCTGAAGTACTAGAACACCTTTTTTGTAGCATCTGTTAATTCGTTTCGGGTCGAAAATTGCTTGTTATGTTCGAATTTCCGCCAAATAGCAGCCCGCTTTGCTCCATAGAGACTTCTGAGGTTTGGTTCGAAGATGCTGCACATGCAAATACTTGTCTTGTAGTTCACTGAAAACTTTCGAGGCGTCCCTTCTGATGAAACTATGGATTTCAGGTGAATATTGATTGCTGATAGCTCGAAGTGAGCTTCGAGGTCTCTTCACTGATGTGAAGTTTGGCAGCGGCTCGTCAATGATAGGGTTTTCCTTGGGAGCGTTAGCTAGCTGCACTGCAATGCTATTGTCCGTATACAATGGGGTCTATCATTCTTGATGCGCCATCTTGTGCTGATGAATGATTTGGGGTGAGAAAGGAGGCGGCGAACCCAAGCAAAGAATAAGGCCTGATACTTAATTGAGCAGTTGACCAAATCGTGCTCATTTGGAGGTGCCTAATCTGTGCGTGTAAGGTGCCTAATCTATGCATGTATAGACGAAGGTCTTCCCACTCCATCTCCAAAGTCAGGTACTATCAAAGAGTGGTGGTGGCCTCTTGGGAAAGGGAAACCCTGATTTGAACAGTAGTGTGATCAAAAGCTGGTCGCAAAGCCCAATCACAAAAAGTTTGACCATTCGATTTGTACTTTCGTATTGGCGATGTCTGAACTGTGGAAGTTGGCTTGCATGATGAATTAGGATCTCGCAAGCAGCTCCACTGATCTGCCTTGTATCCTCTTCGGCGATGTAAATCCTTGTCTCTAAGGCATCGGCCCATGGTGAAATGTTGGGAACAAGCCATTCAAGAGTCTTTCACCCTACCGACTAAGATATAGAGACTGGAAGCTGGAGAACATTTTCGAATTTCAAATAGGAATGCTAGCAACTGAGGCAGATTGTACTGAAGCTATAGATTACATGACCTCCAAGATATACCATGGATAATCTCGACTCACCGGAGCATGAAGAGGGGAAGCGGGATCGTGTAACAGCGGCGAAGAACAAACATCCTCTCGACATACAGACAAGACAGGCTTCTGCGGCGAAAAGACCACATGGCAGAAAGCTTACCTTATCACCAGCAAACATCTCCCCAGAAGACCGGGCAGCGAACATTGATGACTCTCTCTGTCAGAGCATCTCCTAATGATGTTTGCCATTAGCTTCGACGTCGTACTCTAGATTCCTCCGTTCTAAGTTGGGGCAGAAGCAAGCTCCTCAGCCCATACTGGCACTATGTCGCATGAGACCTCCATTGTCAGCTTTTTGAGGCATGCATACCACAGCCATATCAGTTGGAAGAAGTCTGCAGATTTTGGCTTGAAAGCTGAGCGTGAGTTAAGATAGATTGATAGATGGTAATGAAGCGTGTGCAATGTGACACAAGGCAATTTCTCTCGCCCCCAGATGGTTGCGACCCCTCGTTCATCCCCAGCGAAGTAATACATGAAAACGAGTTGATTTCCGCGTTCTCATATACAAATGCATCATCATCGTAGTCAACGCACCCTCTGCAACAGCAACCCTGGAGTGATCTTTTTCCGCAGCACAAGTGCAAAGAAGTTAGGATGGGCATATCTATGAACTTTCCTGGGCTCAAAAGCAAAGCATCGCAAACATGAAGGATGCCTTGCAAAGGCCGAGGATTTATCTATATAGTAAGCAGGCTTTCAGTGAAGAAGTGGACACAATCCAGAAGGAATCTCAAGAACGCCCATAACAGCAAACACTGAGAGGTGACAAAGTGCAAAGTATATCATTGCACATCAGAGCAGATGCAATGCTCCGAGCCAAAGCTGCAAGTAATCATCGGCCGGCTGGTACCTTTCATTGTGAGAAAGTTGCGCAACCAGAACAGCATTGGTGACACAACGTAGAAGTCTTGTATGTACAAGCTGTTGAAGCGAAGACATACGTATGTAGGTAATGAGAGATGTGTAAGGTAATTATGGTGCGTTTCGGGAGTGTTCGAGAGAAGGATCCCATCTGTAGCCGAAGGTGAAGAATTCCCTATGAGTGCACGAGTGAGGAGGCAAGAGCCAGGCAGAATCAGCATTTGATGTTCATTGGGTGACCTCTGCGGCTTTGGTTTCGCAAGCAGACGTTCCCAGCATTTTCGTTCTTTCGTAGATCAACAGGAGAGAGGATCTCCAGCTCAGCCCTAGAGCCTCGCGCTAACCTCAATTCACACTAGGGTCGCTTAAGCCCCACACTCGATTTGCATGAGCGAACTTCATCAACGACAATAACTACCATCTTCCAGCAATCGCAATCATGGTAAGCGCGGACTTTTGGAAGGGATGTTGAAGCGAAGAAGCTGACCTCCTACCTAGGCACCCGCAGCAGCATCTGCCGGCAAGAAGCAAAAGAAGAAGTGGTCAAAGGGCAAGGGTACGTTGCGCCTTCATTCCCTCACACTCTCCGTTCTCCAGTCCTTCCACATCATCTCTGCCTGCGCAGAGGCATTGCCTCAGACCTCTCGCTGATCCCGTTGTCGCTCAAAAGTCAAGGACAAGGCCAACCACGCCGTCATCCTCGACAAAGCCACCTCCGACAAACTCTACAAAGACGTCCAATCCTACCGTCTCATCACAGTGGCCACGCTCGTGGACAGACTGAAGATCAATGGCAGTCTCGCAAGGAAGGCGCTGAATGACTTGGAGGAGAAGGGTCAGATCAAAAAGGTGGTTGGACACAGCAAGCTGAGCATCTACAGTGAGTTTTGACCAGGCCGTTTGGGAGTTGGGAGATGGAGGCTAATACCTGGATAGCGAGAGCTGTGACTGCTGCTGAGTAGATGCGAATATGTGGATGAGGGAAGGAAATGTAGGTGGTGGAAGCGCTGAGACTTGTGTACGCCAGGCCATTTTCCAACGGTAGCATCAATGGAGTACTTCTGAGATTCACTCGGGGAGCTTCATGGACATTTCAAAGCTTTTACATGATGTAGCACACAGACGCCGTTATCCGCAGACAATACAGACAGCCCTCATCCCCTTCCCCCCACCTCCTCCGCCGTCCTCCGCGGCCTCCCCTCCCTCGCCTTCTGACACAACTCCTTCACCTCCCCCCATCCTTCCCATCCAGAACCCGGACCTCTATCTACCTTCCCAACCTTAAAGTACTTCCCATCTTTTCCCCCATCAAACATTCTCTCCCAACCCCTCACAGTCTCCTCCACCTTCTTCCTAGCCGTCCTCTTCTCCCTTTCCCTCCGTAGCTTCCTCTCCCTTCTCCCTTCCTTTGTAGGATCATCTCCCGCCTCCCCCTCAAGAGGCATAAACATCTCCTCCACGCCCCTCAAATCTCCGTTCAGATCCGTATCAAAACACCCTGTCACAAACGACCTCGTCGCATCCCTGCCTGCGAAGAACGAGTAGCTACCGCCCGGGCCGTAGAAGTGCGGGGAGGCAGAGACGTCATAGATGGTGCCATTGACAGCAACGAGAATGGGAAGAGTAGGTTCGGTGCCATTGAATATGGATAATTGAGCGTCTGTCAGATCGTAGGGACCGCGCTAGGAGAGGCGGAGTGTTAGCTGCGAGTCTGTCCATGGAAATCGGAGAGAAAGGACCACGAGTAAGGTCTCCTCACCAGCCAGGCTTTTATCCTCGCCGGCCTCGTGATTGCAGGTCTATAGCCCCAGAGTATGGAGTCGCCGGTTATGAAGTAGGACAGCGTGCTGGAGAGGAGGAAAAGCCCGCCGAGGACGCGGAGGATGTCGAGAAGGGAGAGGCGGCTGGGGCCTTCCTCTGGGTCTGATAGGTAGGGTTCGGGCTTGGAGGTGGAATCGGAAGGTCCATCTTCGGCAGTGAAAGGAGCTGCGGAAGGAGAATGGCGGTCTTTGGGTGGTAGGTTGGCGCGTGAGCGCAAAGCGGTCATTGTGGACGAGGTTTACGGTACTCTATCTTTGAAGCTAAGTTTGTGCTAGAGGGCAAACAATAGAGGTGCAGTCCTTTCCAAATCTCACACACGAACACTCTTGCTATCTTTCTTAAGCCAGAATATGAAGCTCTTCTGGACAGTATTTGGCGTTATGTTCTGGCCAACATCCCTTAGATATCGTCCATTGATGTCAGTCGTAGGTAGCTGACATCGGCGAAAAATCAAGGTTCTTTGCCACCATCCTCTATGAGTACTGCAACATTACAAGTTATCGTTGACCTACCTTTTGGACTTGAAGCCCATGTTGACCTCTTCCCGTTCACATGACTTCCTGTAATTTGTTATCTTTTGTGGCTCACAAGCCCAAAACTTTTGCCGCTGCAACTCATTGGTTCCTAATTTTGAAAAAAAAAGTCGGGGCTGTATCCATAATGACGCACCCAACTCGATCCCGAACCAGCTCGATGCGTCGGGTTGGGTACAACTGGGTCAAAGGTATTCAATCTACGGTAAGGCATGCTTCACATAGTGCGGCTTCATGTTAATCAAGATGGCGAAAGCTAGGATCTTTCTACCAAGTACGCTGACGGCTAGCTAAGTTTACATCTTTAAATGTCACTATCGTATAAATGAAGTGTGAACAACTGTGGCTAGAAGCCAGTCAAAGTACATTTGAGATTGTCGGAACGAGTTTCTTGGAGAGCCAATCCATTGGTTGGCTACAGCGCTCACACGGATGCCTCAAAAATAGTATCACATAAGCAAAATCCTTCCTTCTCATTACTCTTGCGAAGGCATTCGATTTTAGTGTATGCAATGAGGTCCTGCTGAGGCGTACTCATTGGCCTGCGACGTAGAGTTGCATGAGACCTATTAATGAAAGCTCTCAACATGGTTCAAACTGTTGCCGAGCAGGTTTCCATCGAGCTTGACGATTAGCCTGGCGACATCCAATTCATCGAACAACATAATCGTTTTACAAGCTCTCAATGCCTTTCAAAATCCTCAGCACAGAAGTCTAGGTACATAATGGAAATGGGTTTGCGGGTTTCGATTTTCATGGGCGCTTCCGAGACTGTATCGACAGCGCACTGACTTCGCGCTTGTGACTCCTAGTAAGGAGACGAATCTCGTGTAGAACTTCGACCTCTATCTTCTGACCATTACCGCCTAGACCGCTTGTCACCATGAGTACTAGTCCACAGCGTCTACACAACGGCATTAGTGAGGTTGGACACTGAGAACAAGTCTTCACAATTACACTTCTCTCTTGGCATTCTATCCACCCGACTGCGTTCGAATGTACGTATTCGACGTTGGATAGAGCGACAACGAAGGTGAGGAAGGTCTCGAACCATGGCTTGTGTCCGGCTTGAAAAAGCTTCCACTTGAGCTGCTTGACCATATCATCATGTTCTCTTCGCAACATCATCCGCATGGCTTCCTCGATTGATGGTCTATGGCCGGGAGCAGTGGTCTATTTCCTACATAACCTGATACTGCATTTACTACCTGATCAATGCCCAGAGTCTCTTGTCCGTTGGGGGTGTGCTCCATCAAGAAACTTCCGGAGTGTCCTGACTAGCTTTCTGATACATTTGCGGCGACAAAAACCTGGGGATTGGCATTAAATGCATAGCTATAGGTCCACCGGGCAGGCTGTGTGGTGACAGGAAAAGCGGGACCACCAGGATGGGCTGCTTACGTTTCGGTCGGAAAGGGGCTTGGCGCACGAGACACGTCCCAGAGAGCGAATGGTATACTCGGGTTGAAACTCATTGGGTATAGACTCCCTTGCCTCAGCGCGTGCTCAGCAAAGACGTGGGCTGAGTGAAGTACCCGTTCATCATATGCTTCCGAGGATCCAAAGGCGTTAGGATGTGCGATGTCGTTCGTAGTCCACACCGGCATCTTCCATGGCCCATTGTTGAATTCTTGGAGGTGTGGGGTGTCCGCAGACAGACGCCCTCGAGGAGGAAAGGTTTCCAAGTATATGGGCGTCGAGTTGCGCTTAGAAACTCAGTCATCCGCGCATGGGTCTCTCTTTGGTACATTCTAGGCACCGTAAGTGGCATCTTCAATTCGTTGACAGAGCCTTGAGAGAAATACATTGGACAGACTCGAAGCAGGCGCAGGCTCCAAAGGAATGCCGCGCACACTTAGGGCAGCCGATTCACACTGGGGAGCCATCGAAGTTGCCAGAATCTCCGGCACTTTCTGAGTCTCCGAAGCCGTTGTTTTTTTGAATGGGAGGGATCGTCGTACTAGCTAGAAGTTCACCTCCATCGTCTACCACTTCTAGACCAAAGTCCTAATCTTCGTCTTGCGGGAACCCCATAGCAACTACCAATCGTCAGCGGCTGAGAAATCAAAGGGCACAACGTTTGCGGTTGTCTTGACGACCATCACTGAAGATGAGGTGGGGAAGAACAGAGGCGATCTGTGGCCACATATGGCCAATGCTTTCGGCTACATGCATTAGCGAAACCTCGGTATCTGGAAGACTTTTCTTGGGGCGGAGGAGAAGGTAGTGTTTGATGAAATGGCATGTAGATGATCGGAAGTAGTTACTAGATTTTGATGCTAGTTGGCCCGGTGGACTGATGCCAGAAAAATACACAGAGACATCTTCAAGGTCTTCATTCTTTCATGGAAAACATGTCTAAAGATAGTGCCTACAACAATCAACAGCCCCATGACAGAGACTCCAATCCCTTGTGCAGATTTGATGTCAATGTGCGCTTGGAGAAACAAGATAGAGTACTTATTATAGAGGTCTACGTGCGAATCAATCAAAGATTTCGGATACTTGGAGATTCCCGCACAACTGGCAGAATGTTGCGTCTCTCTGTCAATTTGACTTCTGTATATGCCTAGAAGAGTATCAACGAGTGGTTGTTCGCGATACGATTACCATGCATCGACGAATTCTGATTTCAATTCATCACCAAGGATGGCGGTTCGTCGCATCTTTTGCACATATGACAGTCACAAGCCCTAGAGAATGACAAAAAAAAAGAGCGATCATAGATATGTTTGAAAGATTTTTAAGGATTGTAGCCTCATTTTACCCAAGGTAAAAGAATATACTAGCATTTTTGGAAAGGTGCACTGGCGAGGGCTATAAACCGCTAGTTACCCAATCTCTGCCTGAAGGTCAGCTCTAGACGAAGAAAAGGCGGAGAGGTAAAAGCGCACATCCAATTAGAAGCTCGGGTTGAAGCCCGACATAGTGCTATATGTCCTCATGCAACAAGCAGCAAGTGCGGCTTCAGAAATTTGTAAGATAGATGTTCTAAGATACTTGCCCTCAAACTCCGGGGACGATACTCCACCCCCCAGCGCCGTCCGGATCCTTAAAATGATTTGTCAACCGCGCGGAAAAACCTTAAGCAACGTATCCTGAAATGCTTGCATGTTTTGGTCGACGAGAACCTTGCCAGACTCAAAATCGGAATTGTTGGAGATGCCGATGAATGACAGATTTCTGCAAACGGTCAGTCTTATCTCCTTCTGAGTCCGTGCTATTAGAGCGCTCACCTGTTGATCTCCTTGAGATACAAATGATAGCCTTTAATGTTGCTGACGAAAGACTCTGCACTTTGAGCTGCCACGGCTTTCGAGGGATCGATCTCCTGCTGATCCTTTCCTCGATCCCAGCCATACACCTCGGACATATCCACGATGATATCGATCAAGTCCGCACAAAGCTCATAAGCTTTCATGTCTATAGGGGTCGTATCTGAAGCAATATAGACTTTGCTGTAGACATCGAACAGGTAGGCCTTTTCGAATCTGCACGATGCCGAAACAGTATTGAGCAGAGCCTCAAACGTCGGAAGCTGAGGTACGAGTCCTTGCATGACTTTGCTGAACGCTTCAAAAATACTGTGATCATAGATCGAAGTGCCGTAATAGGTGATGGGTGGGTTTTCAAGGCCAGCATCGTAGAGGTCATCCGTGATGCGCTGACGTACATCTCGCATTGTGTCGTCGCGAAAGTCTTCGGTGAGGGAGTCAACCTTGTGAATGAAGACTGAGTACTTGATGTCGGGGTAGGAATGCTGTAGATGCAAGATCGTTTCTGTTAGGCGGCTGACTGGCTCCATGTAGTTGTCTATCGCGTCGAGGACCCAGATCATTGCGCCAACGCCGCCGAAGATACTTTCTGCGTCGAATTCTGGATCTAAGTAGTCGATCTGGCCTGGCAGATCCCATACTTGGAAGTCCATGAACGAGCTGAGAATCGTGGTTGGTCAGCGTCCAAAAGCACCTTGAAGCACAACTCACTGCATGGCCTCTTTGCGGATCGTCGTGGTGGTTTCCAGGAATAACGTTTCGTGAGGCGCCATCTTACGAAAAACAACGTTTGATATCGACGACTTCCCACTCCTACGGACAGTGGTCAGTGTATGAGCGAATGTCTGGAAGCAGAGCCAGCATGTACCTCTTCAAGCCCATCAGCAATAAGCGTGGCTTGTGGTCAACATGGAGTAAGTTTCCAGGCTCCAGGCCTCCATTCAATCCATTGACTGCGGTTGTTTCCTCGTGGTCTGCCGAGCTACTGCTTGCCTTCGAGTTATGGTCCGGCTTAGAAGGTTCCTATCCAACATCAAGTATGTTAGCCCTGCTTAGCTACGGGCCCGCAGCAATGATTATAGCTTCTTCCTGTGCTTAGATGACTCAAGATCTACTGATGGAAGATGCTCAATGTGTAATTGAACTGTTTCCTCGCGAGATGGCCGTCGGAGCAATCGCTCGCAGCTGCCCTGTAGAAGTAACCACTGACATGTTCTGCATCTCCATCGGTTCGCGACATTGCGGTTTTTGAAACAGTGTTCTGCCAAGTCTGCACGACGTTCGATTGCAGAACCAGTCCTCCGACGCTTCCCTCATCCTTTTAGCCTAGCGTCAGTCTTTAATGCTGGGAATAGCGGCTCTCCGGGTAAAACTCGGGGTTATCCCGGCGATAGTTCGGCATGCACATCCGAAGAAAT